TTTTGATTTTTCTTTAATTAATCCGACGACGGAGCCTCTGCAAGTGAAACAATAGTTTTTCTTGCATACTCTTGAGGTAAGGGAATTTTCTCAATTTTTTGCTAAAAGTATTAGAGTCAATCGAGAAAAATTTCCAATAATTAATTACTTGATAAAATTTTAAGGCTTTTTGGATAACATAAATTTAAGCTGGTACCATCTTTTGATGGGCGTTGTGAGGGTGCTATAACCTTCCTCACACGTAACTGAACTCCCGAATCCTGTTCTGATTAACAGACCTGAACCTATTCTTTTAGGGACCCTTAAACTTAGGTGTTCCCCGAAATGACAGATTCCTTAGGTGGTCAATCGCACCTAGATAAAAAAAGATTGGTGGCAACTCCCTAAAGTCAATGTCTAGCGATAGATCCCCGGATCTAGACGTTATGACAGCCTTTATACAAGAATGGATGTGATATATAAAATTATTTGAACTATTAAGGAATAAAACTTATGAGTCATACTATGAAACTTTGAGAGAGAGTAATTGAATGTAAATTGCAATATGAGGTCACTATTTTCGAAAATCAATTTGGATTTATGCTAAGACACTCCACAACAGAGGCAATTCAACTATTAAAGCTTTTGTTGTAAGGTTTTTGAGTGAAAAAAAATATCTACATATAGTATTTATCAACTTGGAGAAAACATACGATAGAGTTCTCCGATGGATGCTTTATGGGCCTTAATGAAAAAATGAGTTCTTTTTAAAATACATTAACATAGTTAAAGATATGAATAAAGAGTTATAACAAATGTGAGGATGTTTGGGGGCTTGACTAATAGCTTTTCCATGACCTTAAGATTACATCAAAGCTCAGTGCTAAGTCCATTTCTTTTTGCATTAGTTATGGATGAGCTCACTAGACATATCTAAGATAAGGTGTCATTGTGTATGTTATTGCCAATGATATAGTCTTAGTTGTTGAAACTAATGATGATTTTAATGCAAAATTAGAATTATGGAGGCATACATTAGAATCCAAAGACTTTAAATTGAGAAGATCTAAAACTAAATATATGGAATGTAAGTTTAATGGTCATAGGGAAGTAAGTGCTAGTATGATTAAGTTGGATAGTGAAGAGGTACCAAAGAATAGTCATTTTTGATATTTGGAATCAATTATTCAAAGTGATATTAAGAAAAAGGATGCAAATCATAGGATTCAACTAGAATGGTGGGGTGACAAATGCATCAAGTATGTAGTGTGATCATAACATGCCTTTAAAACTAAAAGCAAGGTTGTTTAAAACAACTATAAAATCTATGTTGTTATATGGAACTGGGTGTCAAGTCATTAAAAAACAACATGAAAAGAAAATGATGGGATTAATTATTCAGAGTGATATTAAGAAAAAGATGTAAATCATAAGATTCAACCAGAATGGTGAGGTAATAAAATTCGTCGAGCATGTTGTATGATTGTAACATGCCTTTAAAGTTAAAGGCAAAGTTATTTAAAACAATTGTAAAACTTACATTGTTATATGGGAATGGGTGTCGGGTCACTAAAAAATAACATGGAAAGAAAATGAGCGTAACTAAGATAAGGATGCTTAGATGGATGTGTGGTAAGATTAAAAAAAATGAGCGTAGCTGAGATGAAGATGTTTAGATGGATATGTGGTAAGACTAGAAGAGATAAAAGTAGAAACAAAAATATTCAAAAAATATTACGGGTCATCCAAGTTGAGGAAAAAAATGAGAGAAAGCCGTTTGAGATGGTTTGAACATATGAAATGTAGGCATCTTTATACACTAGTTAGGAGAAATAAAATTTTGGATTTATGAGAGACCAAAACTTTTAGAAGTAGACCATGAAAGACGTAGATACAAGTAATAAAAAATAATATGAGAGTTAAAGAAGTAGATAAAAATATTGCTTTTGATAAAAATAATTAGCGTAAGAAGATTTAAAAGTACGACCTAATGTTTTTCCTTTTTTTGGTTTTTTATACAATTGAGTTCTAAGATATAAAACTTATTTTGTTATTAATATAAGTAATTAAAGATCGATTAATTAGTCCAAAGCTAATTGATTCAATACTCTTTTTGGATCAATTAATTGGTTCATGAACTGATTCGATTCAAATTTTAAAGCATAGAACTTATTTCTTTCAAAACAAGCCACTTTAATTGGATTTTTTATTGCTATTTTCTATTTGTTTAGCATTATTATATTTTTCGCCAAACACAATATTTATGGTTAAATGCATCTTTTAATGAGATGCTAAATATATATATATATAAGTTTGGAAAAAAAATCTAAGTTTATGTACTTATCTATAAAAAAAATTAAAAATAAAAACATATCTTAAAAATAAAAATTCTAAAATGAAATAGATATATTGAAGCTATAAATAAAAAAAATAAATAGAACAATAAATTGCAATAAATGAATTACTAAAATCTTCTCCAATATGGTATATCATATCTTAACCATATCTTATCTTCCTACCTCTTCAATGCTTTGAGAGTTTGTAAATATTTTATAGAAATAAAAAATATTTAGTCCAAAACTCTACCATTTATGCTTGCACTTGAGTTAAAAGCAAACACATGAGTGCATAGCTGGACATAGAAAAGATAAGGTGGGGTGGTAGGGAGGACCATGCCCCCAATTCTTTAATTTTATTTGAATTTTCAAACTTTTTAATTAATTAGTTTATTAACGTAAATTATTATCTTATACAATAAATATACAATAAAAATATTAAATTTCACAAATAGATTTTAATTGAATTATTGTATAATTTATCAACATCAAACTAAAAAATTGTTACATAATGTACTTTTTTTTTCAAATCGAATAGGAAATTTCATTATACTAATAATAATCACTTTGCACTTTAGGTTAGTAAAAGTAAATAATTATGCTAATTAATGTGCATTTGATGATATTTTTTGGTATAGCCACAATTTGAGAATAAAAAAAGTTATAAGTATTATAATTTAAATTTCAAACTTATATCAAATTTAAAAATGAGGCTAATTATATTGAATTAAAAAAAATCAGTTAATTTTTTTTATATAAAGAAAGTCTTAATATGAGGATAAAAGAAGAAATAGCAAGTATTGGAATTGAATACCAAATCAATTGGATGCCATCTATTAAGGGTGTCCAATTAAAAATTTTGATAAAGGACCATATTTATAAATTTTTTAAAAGACTAGAAACACTATTTAATTATATCTAAGTTTCAAGTATATACCATTCATAAAGTTTGAAAACTAACAAATGTTTCATTAAGTTTCCCTCAACCAATAAAAAAAAAAAAGTTTCATAATTAGCTTAGTGGGACAAAGGCCCCCTTCATTTTGCCACTTTTTTACTCCAAAAACTTCATGTTTCTATCGGTTCTTATTTTTGGGGGTCTGATTGTTTGGATATTATTGGTGTTTGGTATCTAGTTGGGAAGTTGTGCATTGATGAATTATAATTTGAAGTTGACCAAGCAATAAATATATTTTCATGCCTAGTGTAAGTGTTTTGAATGTTCCTTTAATAATTAATTCAATTGAATAAGAAATTGATTAACTTTAATGTTTGGGATTAATATCAAATTCGTTATTGTCATCATATTTTAGTCTGATTGAAGTTTATCATTGTACTTTTAATTTTGTTGATTTTTGACATAAAATAATTAAAATTGATGAAAATTTGCCATTTCTAGTAATTGGATGTGACTCATAAAATATTTTAATTTTGTTATATTTTGTTCTAAAATTAATAAATTAAAAGTATAATGATAAAAATTTATGATTTGCGTTGTTGAAACATTTCGTTAAAAATTTTAATTTTTGATAAAAAAAATTAATAAAATTATAATTATAACGATAAATTTTATCAATGGAACATTTCGTGAAATATTACAACTTTATAATTTTGTTAAAAATTAACAAAATTACTAGTATAGTGAAAAAAACCCCATAAATTAAAATTTAATGACAAAATTTAATATTGAATCATAATATAATAGTGAATTTGACCTTAATCCCTTAAGTTTTTGAATAAAGGATATATGTGCTCATCATTAGTTAATTACATATATTAAATAATTTTATTTATTTCTTTTAAACTTTATTTTATGAGATTTCTTATAAGTCGAACGTCATAATAACATTAAATTGATGTGGACATTCCTCAAACAGGCCGACTGGCAGTCGATCAAATGAATTATTCTTTTAATATATATATATATATATATATATAATTGAAATGATCTCTTAATTTTAAAAAATTCTAATTTAAGTAAATTTTAAGGATCAATACATGCATCTGTAATTGAATTAAATATTCAACGTAATCCATAACTAATTAATTTTGCAAAGTGTTGATTGTACTTTTGATACTTATATTTTGAAAAAATGTATAAATTAATACTTAAATAAATAAAATATATATTTTGTACTCTTAACTTTTAAATAATATATAATTTATACAGTAATTTTTTAAATTATGTATCATATCAACTCAAACTCTAATAATTCTAATCATATAAGCTTATATTATAGCCTTTGATAAATATTTTTAAATTATATATTTATTACACATACTATTAATATTTTTTTGAATATAAAACAAAAATAAATATTTTTACTTAAATGATAAAAATTATTTACCCATAATAATTGTCAGGGTATTGTCTGACTTTGATTTTAAAATTGAATTCAAATGATTTATCCAACTTTTTAAGAGATGTATTTTTGCAAGTGCTGAAACCCAGCACATGGAATTTCCCGTCCCCTACCCATTGACGTGGACCTCCCTTTGCATATGAAAATGAACACCTTATCTTGACAAAGGCTAACCTTAATAAACCTCTTAATTTGGTGCATCAAAGCGGTGTTCATATCCATTTCGAAGCGGTGAACTTTTAATGCAATGCCAAAGTGGCCAACCGCTTGACATCCAACAAACCAATGAAAAAAGAACTAAAATAAATGTTCCCATTAAATCACCCACCGGTTTTGCTTTTATAACCAATTTATATGGCCCCCCTTAAAGCATGTCCAAAAGTACCAATGTATCCAAATCCTTTCACAAAATTTTAGCTCATTTCTTCCCATTTATGATCTCTTACTCTGCTACTTTCAATCATCAAAGCATGGTTTTACCAGAACAAGAACATCTTGTCTATAACATCAGGCTCTCATCCGTTGGCCCGGGCCGCGTAACTGGCTCAGATGTGGTTCATGACCTTAGCGGCCTTGACATAGCCATGAAACTTCATTACCTCAAAGGGGTTTACTTCTTTACCGACCAGGCAGTGGAAGGGCTAACCATCAGGCAAATGAAGGAAACCATGTTCTACTGGCTCAACGACTATTACATCACTTGTGGGCGGATCAGGAGAACTGAGTCAGGCCGGCCCTATATTAAGTGCAACGATTGTGGGATAAGGTTTGTCGAAGGAGTTTGCGATAAGACAATCGATGAATGGCTAGAGCTTGGAGATGATTCTCTTCACAACCTACTTGTTTACCATCGTGCCATTGGTCCAGAGTTATCATTTTCTCCTTCAGTCTACTTACAGGTAATACAATATTCTCTTCTGTCGCCCAATCTTCAAGGTTCGGTTTTTTTTTTACCTTTTTTTTCTCTTTGCATGGCTTAAAAAAAGTACAATGCAAAATTCGTTATCTGATTCACAATGACAAAGAGATGCATGTGTATGACAGTGATGATGCTATAAATGGCCGTATCAAATTAATATCAAGCATTAATATTTCATATATCGACAGAATATCACTTTTTTATACTGTCAGTAAAAAATAATATAATATCTCATTAATAAATAAAATTTAAAATTTTTAAAATTTTTAAAAATAAATAATAATAAATTTATTTACGTAAAATTAATGATATGGTCTGAGCTCTAGCAGGAGCATTGTGGTTAGTCTTTGTCACGAAGACAAGGTGCCTATTTGCATTACCAATAGTTAAAGTTGTAAATTAACAGAATATTTAGCAAAGAGTTTTTGAATAAGCTTAATTTCTGTTCGTTTATAAAGTTTAAAAGCAATCATGAAAAACATTTTAATATTTATTAATTAAATGAATAAATTAAAAACAAAACAAAATTTATTAATATTAGATTTTAATTTACACTCAAAGTGTAAATAAATAAAACATTTAATAAATAATTTATGAACAAAATCGATTTCTATTTGTTAAATTTAATAAATAATTTCGAGTAATATTTTAGTGTTCAAACAAATCACAAATAAAATAAAATTTATTCATATTACTGTAGCTAATTTACTAATAGGTGAACAAATTATTGTACGATCTGAGTGGTATTTATTGTTGAACACTAATAGTTTTCTGGTACACTTTCTAGGTAAACTTTATGTACCTACTACAAGTTTGTAATGGCCGTGGGCTTGAAAAGTACGGGTAAAAGTTAAAACGAGATGGTAAAAATCTTGTTATTTGCATGCCACTTGTCAACGCCAATACTGTCCAGTAGCCGAAAGAGGAAAGGTCAACTGGCTAGTGTAGTAAAGATAATGACTGATAATATCTTTGCAATAATTTACTTTTTGGGACCCTACAAGAGTGCCCTGCTCCTTTACAGGGATGTAAACCAATCGAAAATGAATTAATATTATTATATTTTTCATTTATTAATTTAATTAACGAATTTTAAAATATTATTTATAATTATTTGTTAAAATTAATAAACAAATTTACGAACGGTTTACACACTATTGTAAGGACAAGTTGGTTCTTGTAAACTCTAGTTTGTCTTATTATTGTCCTTCTTTGGTAGTAATTTTAGAGCTTTGCTGGTGCAGGTTACTCGGTTCAAATGTGGAGGAATTTCACTGGGGATGAGCTGGGCTCATATCCTTGGAGATGCATTTTCAGCCTCTGAGTTCATCAACAATTGGGGCCGATACATGGCTAGGCTTAAGTCCAATGGGCCTCTCACCCTCCCTAAGTCACTTGATAATAAGATTGAAAAACCTCATGACCCTAACCAATTTGTCAAAGAACCACTTTCTGCAAAGCAGGTCAACCCTGTTGGAGACCTGTGGATAGCTGCCAATAACTGCAAAATGGAAACTTTTTCCTTCTACTTGAGCACACTACATCTATCGAGCTTACAAGAAAAGATATTAGGTGAAGATGGACGCAAACGAATTTCGCCTTTCAGCTCTGTTTGTGCTGTTATTTGGCAATGTATAGCCAAAGTAAGAGAAGGATTTGAACCACAAATTGTGACAGTTTGTAGAAAATATCCCAACTATGACAATAATGTTCTTAGCAACAGTCAAATTATAAGTGCAATCAAGGCAGATTTCTCTGTAATGGAAGCAGATTTGAAGAAGTTAGCATTGTTGATGGCTGATGATCAGGGCCTGGATGAAAGAAACAAGATTGAAGCAGCTGTGGAGAAAGATGATGGGGTGACAGATTACATTATGTATGGGACAAATTTAACATTTGTGAACCTGGAAGATGCCAATTTATATGAATTGGAATTAAAAGGACAAAAACCAAAGTTTGCATATTATTCAATCCAAGGTGTTGGTGATGAAGGAGCAGTTTTATTTCTTCCAGGGCCCCCAAAAGGTTCTAACACTGAGAATGAAGGCAAACTGGTCACCATAACTTTGCCAGAGGATCAAGTATTGAAGCTCAAGACTGAGTTACAAAGGACTGGTTTACTTCCAACTGAACTTGAATGAGTGCAGAAATTTGTACATTTTCTGCAATTATTAACACTTTAGCATGTGTTAGTTATACATTTTCTGCAAGTATTAGCACTTTGTTTTGTGTATTTGTGTGCGTGCCAGTTTTTTTTTTTTTTAATTAGCTTGGCTTGTATCTATTATTAATGTTGTTTAAAATTTACAAAAAATAAATAATAAGTAATTTTATTGATTTGGATTCCTTAAATAAAAATATAAAATGATATCTATGTATTCTTATGTAATCTTATATTGCTTATTAACTTAAATTTTTTAAAAAATTAATTTAAAATTAATGTAATAATCATTATTATGAAATTAATTTGATTTAACATTCCAAATTTGATTTTAATGAATTTGATTATCTCTTGATCATTTTAAAATTAACATATTAATTGCATATACATTGCAAGTTCTGTTCTTACAAACTTGATTTCATAAGAGTTATCTCGTATATTTGATATTAAATCTTATTTCATAATAAATAAAATACTTTTTATATAAAATATTTTTATATAATAAATAAAATTCTATAAAATATTTTATATAATTAAAATTATATAAAATGCTTCAATTAAAATTTGATATTTTTTCTTAATAAAAATTTAACAATTGTTAAATTAAATTTACTCTAAGTAACAGGAAAATTAAAAAAAAAAAACTAAGCTTTTGTTTTAAACTATTAAAATTTAAATTTAATTACAAAAATTAAAAATTTGGCACTATAGCAATGATCATCGGCGGCATCAATAAGTTGAATCCATAGTAAATAAGATGGCATAGACAAGATTAGACTGCTGGACAAATGCCAAATACCATTAACACCCCTATTTTGAACTCAAATTTTCAAATTCTACCATAATTACAAGAACCTTCAAAGCTAGAAGGTATGTTTGCAATTTCTCCTTAAAACACGTCAGACAAAACCTATAACTACCATCAACCTATCTTTAATCTACTAACAAAGGTAAGCGTCTGCATCTTCTTCTAAAGCGAGATCATAACATAGTATCAGAAGAAATAGTTTTGGACGTCCTTTCACACACAATGAACTTCATGAAATTAATGTTGAGAATATTGACTCAAATCTCATAAGAGATTTGTTTGAAATTTGTTAGAGATTTGTTTGGAATTTATCAGATATTGCTTGATAGACAAGAAAACTTGCAAAAGAAGAATTCCAAGAGAAAGAAGATTCTTAATAGATAAGTTTGACTTGCAAGAGAAGAATTCTAAAAGGAAAGGGATTCTTAATAAGCAAGTTTGACTTACAGGAAAAGAATTCTAAGAGAAGAGGGATTCTTAATGGGCAAATTTGTATAGTTATAAATAGATGAAGTCTCTATAGGGTTAGGTATGAGAAAAAGATGTAAGAGAGTTGTAGGGTTTTGTGGGATAGATACCCCATAGAAGTATTGGGGCTCTATATCTTATGGGTGTGTATGTTTGTTTGTGAGTGGACTAGAGGAGATTGAGAAGGTTCACATTGGTATGATGTATGAGAGCATATGGATATGTGTTTGGTTATGTTGAAAGGGTACACAAGGGTTTGTATTTGTATTTATTTGGGTTGAAAATACTCTATAGGACTAGAGGAGATTGAGAGTGTCTTATGAGTATTGATTGTTGAGTGAGGTTGATGATTTGATGTAAGTTTGTAATTTTCTACAACTAGTGGATCTTGTTTCTCATCCGTGGATGTAGGTTAGTTGGACCGAACCACGTTAAATTATTGTCTCTTGTATGTTTGATTTATTGTTTGATTTTGCTTTCGCTGGTGTGATTGGATTTGAGGCTTTTAGCCTAACAAATGGTATCAGAGCTGTGGTGTTTCCCAACAAGTGATATCAGAGCTGAAAGTTTGAAACGTGAGAAGAGTCAAATGTTCGAGATGTGAGAAGAGTTGATGATTCGAGACATTGGAAGAGTTAACAGTTCAAGATATGGGAAGAGCTTGGTTTAAGACATGGGAAGAAATAAGCTTAGAGGAGCTCAATTCAAGAGAAGAGTTCGAGTTCGAGTTTTGAAGATTGAAGATTGGTTTGTATGAAGCGTGAAGACACAAGAGAAGAGAAGATGATTGTGAGACTTTCATTACAGGTGGAGCCAAGTATGTATAGCATAAAGACAGATGATTGATGAAATTTGAGTCAAGGTGAAGATTATTGGGAATATTGACTCAAATCCCATAAGAGATTTGTTTGAAATTTGTTAGAGATTTGTTTGAGATTTGTCAGATATTGCTTGATGGACAAGAAGACTTGCAAAAAAAGAATTCCAAGAGAAAGAGAATTTTTAATAGGTAAGTTTGACTTACAGGAGAAGAATTCTAAGAGGAAAGGGATTCTTAATGGGCAAGTTTGTATGGTTATAAATAGGTGAAGTCTCTACAGGGTTAGGTATGAGAAAAAAATGCAAGAGAGTTGTAGGGTAAAGATGTAAGAGAGTTGTAGGGTTTTGTGGGATAGACACTCCATAGAAGTATTGGGGCTCTACGTCTTATGGGTGTGTATATTTGTTTGTGAGTGGACTAGAGGAGATTGAGAGGGTCCACATAGGTATGATGTATGGGAGCATATGGATATGTGAAATCCCATAAATGCAGAAATTTACAAATGAAGACGCTTATTATCAGAGCTCAAACAAGTAAATATATAAGCAAGGTATCCACTAACTGATAACACCCTGAATCATACTTACCTTAAGTTGTTCAACCATTCAGAATTGGAACCACTTCCATGAAAGTTGAACCCAACTGAACATACATGCTTTCTGTACCCAGATCTTAATGGAAATATGGTGCATTGGATTAAGTTTAAGCACCAGTCTGACAAGAAGGAAAAGAGAAAAGAATCAGTTGTGGATTACAACAGCAATGAGAACAATTCTAGCTACTCTTGCAAAAAGAAAAAAAAAATTATATATTGTACTCGAACATTTGAGTAAGTGATTGAAGTATGTGTCCCTTACATTTTGAGTGGAGATTGAATCTGTTTTTGGGAATCAGAAAAATACTCACCTAGGCATGATCTGCTGGTTGTAGTGCTAGTTTTTTCTTTTGCCATTCCTACGAATCCACTTAGTGACATTTTTTTGCCAATCTCTCTCGATCTTTCTAACAATCCACCAGGGTCTTCTGGTTGTGAAAACAATGTATCCTATGCTCAATCCTAACACCACTCCACAACCATAGCCCATCATTGCGACTTTCCAAATAAAGGGTATTGCAGAAGTACCTTCATGTGTCACAAACATAGGTCCCGGTGGCTTTGGTCCCTCCTGGTTGTCGCATTGCTTTGACAGTGGGAAGCTACACAATCCCAAGTTACCACTATAAGAATCATTCTCAAATGTATCAAATTGCTTCCCATTGGGGATTGGCCCGACAAGATCGTTTTCCGAAAGATCTAACACTTCCAGGAATGTCATATTCGTCAACTGAGAAGGAATTCTACCACCAAGCTTGTTCGATGAAAGATCCAACGATTCAAGTGCTACCAAATTTCCATAAGATGGTGGGATAGGACCAGTGAAGTTATTGTGGGATAAGTTAAGCGCTTGCAGTGAAATAAGTTCTCCAAGTTCTTCAGGAATATGTCCACAGAATAGGTTGTTTGAAAAATCCATGGCTGTGAAAATGGCCCAGGTTTTCACCAACTTAAGCTCCGATCTTTTCGTTGTTACATTCACATAAGTTGGGTCCTCATCATAACTAAAGCTATCTCTTCCAGTCCAGAAAAATTTTGACCCCGTATATGTCTCTTCTGGTACATCTCTCATTGCTCTCAAATTTTGGAATAATTTGGTAGGCAAGGGGCCAGTGAGCTCATTTCTGGAGAGATCAATTATCCGCAATGCAGAGAAGTTACATGAAGCTATGGAATTGGGCATCGAACCATGCAATCCATTAAATTGCAGGATAAGAACTTGTAGCCTTGTAAGTGAAGCTAGCCAATGGGGAAAAGCATCAGTCAACTTGTTGTTCCCTAAATTTATAACTTCCAAGGAACTACAATTAGCCAAAGATCGCGGCAGTGATCCTTCCAATTGATTGTCATTGAGAAAAAGATTTCTCAACTGATTATCATACATAAAAGTATCAGGGATTTTGCCATAAAAGTTATTCATCTGCAAATTCATGAACTTGAGAGAATCGCTGAAATTTCCAAGACATTCTGGAATAGTTCCACTCAAGCTATTTCTAGACAAGTCGAGAACTATAAGCGAACTCCAATTGCAAATCAAAGAGGGGATGTTTCCAGTCAATTTATTCTCTGAAATTAAGAATAATTTCAGAAATTGTGGAGGATTTGGAATTTGAGGATTCAAGCAAGTTGAGAGAATTGGCCCTTGAAGCAAGTTGGACTGAATGTCAAGAACATGAAGATTCTTTCCTGGAAATTGCTCCAAAGTTGTCAGAATGTTGTAAGAAAGGTTCAACATGACCAATTGTTCCCACCCTTCCGCTTACCATTTGGAAATTCCACCAGAAATCTTGTTATTGGAAAGATCTAAAACCATCAACTTTGATGTTCGAAAGAAATTTGGGAACTGTCTTATGCCACAAGAAGAAAATAACACCAGACCCAGCTGAGAGGAGGAATAGTTAACATCATTGCCACTTGTGCTTAATGATAGTAAACTATTATTCGAAAGATCAAGATTATAAAGATTTTTGAGCTTCAAGAGCATATTTGACTTGATGACACCACTCAAGTTGTTTGATGAAAGAAGAAGCGAGCTAAGGTTCACAAGATCAAAAAATGTACTGGGTATTGGACCATGAATTTCATTAGAACTCAAATCGATATAATCGAGATAATTAGGCTTCTGAATTTGGTCAATAGGACCAGTCAGTTTGTTATAGCTGAGGTCTAATTGTTGCAAAGATGGTAAAGTAAACAGCCAAGATGGTAGTCTACCACTTATTTGGTTGTCATGTACCCAAAATGCCTCTAGCAATTGAAGCTTACTGACATGATTTGGCAGGGCACCTTCTAATTGATTTTGTGACAAATCTAGTTGGGTTAATTGTGTGAGGTTGAACAAAGTTGTTGGAAGTTGACCACTGAAATTGCAGGAATAAAATGTCAAAGAAGTTAATTTGTTAAGGTTTTCAAAAACATCTGGAATCTGTCCTCCAAGATCATTTTCAGAAAAATCTATGAAGATGATTCGAGTGAGATTTCCAAATGATGAAGGAATTGACCCACTAAAACTACAGAAGGAAAGGTCCAACAACTCAAGGGCAAGACTCAAGTTTGTCTTTGGGAGATAACCTGTTAGATTTTGATTCCAACTTAAATGTATATGTTGGAGGTATGGAAGGCCAAAAACTTCACCTGGGAATTCCCCATGCAGTTCACAATATGAGAGACTCAAACGTTCCAGAGATGAACTGAGGTTTAGAAAAGAATTAATAGAAACACCAGACAAATCTATATAATCAAGAACAAGGTTTCTTAATTTGGTTAAGTTTCTTGCAAGCATGTCAAAACCTTGAGCGTCAAAACTCAAGCTGGTATCATCATCATTACCAGAAAGATCAAGTGAAACCAAATTTGATAGAAGACTGATTGCATATCGGATTAAGTCAGAGAATCCAGAATCAGAGAGATTAAGATGGGTTAAACTCACTAACTGATTAAATAATTCGGATGAGATAGAGCCATTGAAATTGTTGTGAGCTAGGTTGAGTCGTTGGAGTCCTTGAAGGTGGAAGAGGGTGCTGTTTTCAAGCAAAGAGCCATAAAACGAGTTGAAACTGAGGTCGAGCCATTGAAGGTTTTGAAGGTGGAAGAGGCTGTTGTTTGCAAAGAGAGAACCGTTAAGGCAGCCGTGACTGAGGTCGATGCCAATTACATGACCGGTTACCTTGTTGCACCTGACTCCCTGCCAAGAACAGCAATCAGTGCTTTGGTTCCAAGAATTTATGGTGGGGTAAGTATCACAATCATCATCAACAGAAATGGTGTGCTTGAATTCGAGCAAAGCATCTCTTTGTTCTGAGAGACATAAATGAGTTGATGAATGATGAAAAGAGGAAGAGAAACTCAATGAACAATCAACCTGGAAACACAAGAACGCTAAAAGCAGGCAAAGGATTTGACACGGCAACATCCTAATTACCATTTTTTCTCAAGAAATACAAAGCTAAGAAACAAGAGATGAACTTGAAAATGAGTTACTGTTAGAGAAGTGGAGACATATCTTTTTCAGTCAACCAGTCTTTCAAGCTCTTTCCTTTTCGTTTCCAGTCATGGACCCATGTCAAATGAAAAACAGCCCCCTTCAAACGTCTTGGGAGGAACTTTACGAAGAAATTTAATTAACTGAAGTTAAATAATATTTAATAGTTAACAAAGACCAACAATAGGGAGTAAACTTACATTAAGACTTAATGGTGAAATTTATGAAGTTTTTTAAAAATAATTAAATAAGAAAATTTTAAAAAAATTAATTGATAAATTAATAGAGTCGAATTTAGAGATAAATAATATATAAAAAATTATTAAAAATATTATTTATAATTTAAATTTAATCGACATTTAGTTAATAATAAAAATTTTGTCAATATTTTTATTAAAAATATATATCTAAAAATATTTATTAAAATTTATTAAAATTTTTTCGGATTTTAAATATTTTATATATATGACGAGATTTTTTAATTTATTGATTTAATTTTTATTTAATAGTTTTAGTTAAAAATTTCGTAAATATCACTTAATAAATTTCATCTAAATAATTTCCGAACAATAATAGATAGGATAGAGCAGTCGATAAGTTCAATTTTTTAAAAAATAAAAAATCAATTTAATTGATTATGTTTACAAAAATAATCAAATCAATTTACTTATTTTTAAAAATAAAAAACAATTGAATCGAAAAAATCAATCATTCAATTGAAAAATTACAATTTTTACCATTTATTATATTAATTTTAAAATAATAATTTTGTAATAATTTTTGTCAATAAAATTCCCTTAATAATTTTATCACTAATATTATATTTATTACTTTTAAAAAAATATAAATAAAAATATTTTTTATATATTTATATTTATAATATATTTGCCGGTAATGAATAAATTAAGCCATTTGAACCAAATGCAATTCATTTCTATCGTTTTGATCAAATTCAATCCATTTCGATCAATCAATTTGATTCTAACCGACTTATACCCACTGTTATGTGTAAACCAAAATTGGAGGCCAATTGTGAAAATTTCACCAAATTTTTTTTTTAAATGAAGCAAGAGACATTGAAAACTGACTTTTTAGCAAACTTTAAAATGATAAAGCACAATCTTTTCTTACAATTCAATCAAAGAGGCAGCGAAACTATGGAATTATACAAGATTTCAAAGAACCAAATGTTTTTGTAGATGAGTGCAGTGCTATCAGATTTTACCATTTTTTTTTTTTGGAAGTAGATACATTTCTCTCCATGTCATGTCGGCACAAAGGAAAACGAAGTAGCAACCACAACCACATAATTACAGGACCCAACCAAAAGTTATGAAAAGAGCCCTTTCCCAAATGAACTCTTAATCACCAGTCGTCCATTGCCAGTGATGAAAAGAGTAGAGAAAAGGAGTTTTTATGCATCACTCTCAATAACATCGATTAACACTTCTTTTTTTCTTCAATACTCTAATGTAGTATATAGGTTTTCGCCTTCTGTTCTACTTTTTGAGTGGATCTAAATCCATAGTCCATACCTGGCATGGAGAACCAAGGACTTGTTTCCAGGCCCCTCTGCCTTGTGATGGGGTATATGATCATCGGGGCTATGGTTGACAAAAGGTTCTAACAACTGATACAAAATTAAAATATTTATAACTTAATTGATACAATGGTTAGTTCAGCAATAAAATTGATAATCTTTTTCCTACCAGAATACCTAACGATCTAGATTCAAGCGCCTTAAGAACAGAATTCATGAAAACAAAGCAAAATTAACTTAAGCAAGTCAAATTCTAACAAATTTATGTACATATCGAGTGTTAGTTTGATTGATATGGATGAATGACAGTGGAGTAGAGGCATTTTTGATTTTAGAATTAGCATTGAAAGTACTCTGTTTTGAGCAATGCTAACCCAATTGCCATCTATAAAGGGGCAGAATTATGTATACATACAAAAGATAAAACCAAAACTTAGCCAAAAGACCATATGCACAGAGGAAGAGGGGGAGGCTTATTGTTCTTTAGAAAACTCATCCCTTTGCCTGCGCATTCGAGCCCCCCATGACATATTTCCTCCAGCATCCCTGTTCATGCTTCTTCTCTTCAGTTCTGATAGCTGAGATTGCCATCGATTTCTCCACTCGCTCCGCTCTTCTAGTTCCTGGTAGCAAAGAGAATGTAAGAATTTAAAGCAAACGAAACTGATCCTATCAACCAGCCAGTAACCATAAAAGAAAGAAAAGAATGTCGAAACAGAATATGCATATTTGACAGTCCCAAAACAAACTATTATCATTATAGGTCAAATCTTTAGAGGCAGAAAACTGAAAGGAGATGTAACTCTCATGGGAAAAAGAAAACAAACCAAAAGTAGAAGAAAGTTCAGAAGATCATGATAAAAGCTAAGATCAGTGAACTATCATGTTATAATTAAGGGACCAGATAAAACCCAGTGATTTCATTATTAGCATTATAAAATCAGAACAGGTCAATCCTATTTATAAGGGAAAGCAACAAACAAGGTCTTTTTCTTCCCCTAATAACCACAGGCAATTTCATTAAGTATGGGAGGAGCTACAAAAAGTTGATTACCAATGACTACAAAGAAGTTTCATCACAGTAACGAAATGTTTGAACATGACAAATTAGCCATTGTTATCATCACAAAGAAACGAAGCCTAGCAAAAGCCAGTTTCACTATATTGAAGGGCAAACAAAAACTCCAGATTAGAACTAGGAACTTAATCAATACGGATTCAAGAAGGAAACAGAACTTGCACTGACAGCAAGCTACTCATACCTGTCTTAAACTCTAAGATAAAATATACCCATCAAAAGATTATAGAGTAAAGAGCATAGTAAATCACAGAAGATGAGATACTCTGTCTTCTCTTACATATACTTGAAACTTCGTTGACACAATTTTTTCCTTTCTTTTTTTCTTCTTAATTTAATTATTTTCATAGGAGCAACCTTCTCTCATGGCAAACAGATTGCTAGGAATGGAAGTAAGTTTTTTCATGTACATCACTGAACTTAGCCAACACAAGTAAAGAGAAAAGAAAACAGATGTGAACTTCCTTTTCAGTTTTTGACTTTTGCTTTCTTCAACAGTCAAAACAAAACTAAACTTCCACCAAATCCCAACTCTACATGGCTTAGGGAACTCTCCCAATTACCAAAATCATGAATCCAGCCGCCCACATAGACATCCAAATGATTAAAATTTGATTTATGGGATGGGAAGAAAGGGGTTAATGAATCTTCGCTTCATATGTACAAAAATTCCCAAATAAAAAAAGTAAAAAGAAAAACAATTAACCAAAACAAAATAACCCAGATGCCAAATAATCCCAAAAACACAAGCTAAATCTTACAAAAAAAAATGAAAATTACGAAGAAAAGCAGTATACCTCATCGTATTGGTAACGTCGTCTAGTAGAGAAAGCAAGATGAATCCCCAAAGCCAAGTCCTTATCATACAACGCCCTCGTCCTCGGATCAGACAAAGTCTCATAAGCCTCCTGGACCCGTATAAACCACTCCGTATATTCCTCCACCCGATCCGGGGGCGACACGTCCGGGTGGTACTTCCTCGCCAGCTGCTTATACGCCTGCTTTATCTCCGGCAAAGTACCCGTTTCAGGTATCCCCAACAACTCATAGAAACTCATCTCCTTCCTTGCTTCATCGATTTTGGCCTTGATTTTGAAAGACCCGAATTGGATCCGGGTCGGGTTGACGGTTCTTCGTAACCGGAGGAAGGAAGTGTCCAGTGTAAAGAAGCGGGCGTCGCTTCCCGGTACCGCCGCCAATCCATAACCGCAGCGCATCTTAATAATCCCTTTCTTTTGCCAAGAATAAATCTTCAATACGCTGCAACAATTACTAATATTTATTCATCAGCTCAATGGTTCTTTGGGCATGTGGTTAGGGGTAGAAAGGATTGAAAAAGAAGATTGGGAAGGGAAAGTGATACGTATGGGCTATGGGGGAGAAAGGAAAAGGACAGGTTTGGAGGGATTGAGGACAAGTATTTATATTTTTTTATTTTTTATTTAAGGTTATGAACATGAAATTTTAAAATTAGTAAAAATGATTTTAAAAAATATTGAAAATAGTATACATTTCTATATATAAATAATATATATAATAATAATATAATGATAATGACCCTTCATAATAACCACAAAAAATGTTGAATAGAATATTTTAGAATTATTATGGTTATTTAAATTTATCATTGCTCTAAGTACCGTATCAACATCATTTCGAAGAAAAAATCTACGACTAATAATTTAAAATATGATATAATAATATAATATAAAAATAATATAAATAAAAATATAAAAATAATGATTTAAAATTTTAAAAAATCATAAATAAATTTAATAAAATTAAAAATTATATTTTATATTTTCGTGTCGATACAAATTATAACATGTAATTTTTATATAAAATATAATACGAACATAATATTTTATATGATATAATAACATGAATTTTTAGAACTAAAAAAATCTAACTTATTAAAATTAAAATTTATATATTATATAATAAATATATTTATTAATGATGTATTAATATTAAAATTTTAATGAATTATCAATTAAATGTGTTCAATAAATTAATTAAAATAAAAATATATATATGAAAATTGTCATATTAATTCTAATATTTTGTAATTATTAATTTAATGTTCATTTATATATCATATATTTTATCACTTTTAGGCAAAAAGGCAAATTATGAAAATTTTGCATTTATATTAGTTAGGTTTGTACTTTGTACACAATAAATATTTTTATTTTCCTCATAAAAATTGCTTAAATAAGAAAACAAAATATAAAATTTTATTGCATTAATTTCTATATTTATAAGTATCAATTTTTTTAATATATTAGTATTATTAAAAAAATAAAATATGAAAAGTTAGGACACTAATTTTAATGTTTTATATTCTATTAATTCATAATTTAAAACAAACATTTAATTATATATATTAATCAAGTTTTCAAACTTTTCATGTCTCTTATCATTAAATTTAAAATAATAGAAAAAAAGGATAATATCTTTACAAGATATTGTCATAATAATGTGTGTTTACCTATATATATTTGTTTATATATTTTATTTAAGTTTTTTTTTTAAATAAAAATTAATAGTGCTTTCGAAAAACCTTTGTTTATTATGAAAGTTTCAAATTCAATCTTGAAAAAAAAAAAAGAAAAAGAAGAATTTATGAGTTTTATTTCGCCAATAAATTTAAGAGATGAAAAACATACTTTAAATTAGTTGTAGACTCGTATTGGACGTTATTTATTAAACAAATTGTTGCTTCAAAGAAATCACTTGAAGAGCATAAAAAATTTTCCACTTATTCTACCCTCTTAATTAACTGTCTTCCATATTTTTTTATTTTTATTTTAAATTATCGTAATGCAAAAAATAAAATATTTTGTGGAATATTTTTTACTATCTTTATCCCAACTCTGCTTCTTGAAATGAACTAGTATATATCTTGAACTACGCAACATGAAATTGTCATCTATTAACCGTACAAAACCTACTTAAACTTTTTATTAAAAAACAAAAAACAAAAACAAAAAGATAATGAGTAAATCCGCCGCCAAAAACAAAAAATACTTATGTGGGATACAAAATTAAAACAAGAGGCAACATTAACTACTTAAATAATCCACCACATGCGACGTCGTTTTTAACTACATTACACTATATTATACTACCATTTGAAGCAACGAAAACGCCATCAGAAATAATCTGGACTTTGTTTCTGCATTTTGCATGCTTTATCGTGATTTTACTTAAAAACCATATTTTCACAAAGAATTTCACTATAAAATGTTTCATAAAACCTACATCCTACCAAATACATTGAATAAAATAATTGACCTCATTCTTCATCCTTATCAATCTCTTTTCATGAAAATTATTCTTGTTATTTTCATATCATGATACCCAAAATCGCTCATATCCCTCACATTTTCATATATATATAAATATGTGTGTGTGTGCACAAATTATCATTAGTATCAACTATTGCCGTCCTAAGACGTGTCCAATTATATTTTTATTTTCAAAATACCGAGAGATTGAAGGTAAATTCAATAGAGACGATAAATTTCATGACATATGTAGGGTAAGAGGGTGATGGATTTCTATGCAAATATTGACTCCTGCTTCTATTTAAATTAGAAGGTGGCAGAAAGTAATAAGAAACTACAGCTAGACATCAAAATGTTCTTAGCTCATCACCTATTCCCTTTGTTAGACCAGTCAATCCTGGCAACCAGTAGCTTATTTGCCGCCAAGGAGTGAAGATTTGGCAAAAAATTGCGAGAGAAACAGAACAAAACTACAGCAATGGGGGAAACGAGTGAGAGAGATAGAGAGATGGGGTGGGATTGGGGTTGGGGTTGGGGTTGGGAGGGGATTATTGTAAATGAAAGAACATTTTGAAATCCGCTTCATGCCACTCAACTTTTCCAGAGTGTTTGAGACCAAGGCTGAGCTCTTACACCACCATATACGTTCCTCGTCCTAAAAAAGAAACAAAAAAAAAAAAGGGGGGGGGGGGGGGGGGGGGCAAGGAAAAGACCTGGAAAAAGAGGAAAAAAAAAAAAAGATGGAAGAGGAAAAAAAATTAAGTAAGTTCTAGACACTAACATCACAATGTTACAGTTCTACTCTAGTGCAAATGCATATGCAATCAATAATAGAACAAATGCATCTAGTCTTCAAAGTTGACACATAATGAACTGCTTACCAATTCCAAATGATTAAAACAAAATTCACTCTTGACTCCAACCTAGCCCCAATGAAAAGACCAAATAATGTCTAAAATTCCAAAATGGGAAAACCTGAAAATCTTTAGATGAAGTTTTCCAGGAGTGAACCATGTGACAAAGCAGAATTTAAAGGTTTCCAATTGCTTCTGTTGATCAACAGAATTTTGGTGATCAACCAGAATCAAGTCACTATACCCCAAGATTTAACATCTAGGGCACAAATGCAAGCAAATCTAACTTACTAATTACTACCATAAACAGAACTCAGCCAAGCAGTGTCATGGAAGATTACCTGTGAAAACCATGAAATTAAGTTAAGTGATCAACCAATCAGCTATGGGGCTCAAATAGAGACGCTATTCATCCTGGCGATATCTGGTTATGCAGGACCTTAAAGTAGCTTTGTCCAAGAACTTTCCTTGGAAAAGGGGAAAAACAAATAGAAAAAAAAAAAGAAAAAGAAAACAATACGGGGCAAGTGAAAAAGATGGAACAAGAGTAAAGAACCAGCTTCATAATACATTGGAGAAAAGTTATAAAGTATTGCAGACAGCAGCAGAGAAATGCATTCATCCACATTTATAGCAATCAACACTAAAGAAATTTCAAAAATGTTAACAGAAAATTTATAGCATAAGCTCTCTGCTACAAACCGACTGCATACCTTCACATAGATCAAGTAAAAATCAACCCTCCAAACTGATCACTGACAGCTCCAAGAGGAAGACCAAGTACATAACCTGCATAAGGTGGGATATAACAGGCGATCCAGACCATCAAAGGCAAATAAAAATGGAACCTATGATCAAGCATCTCAATCAAAGGCCAAGAGTTTTAGGACATCAAGACTGCTAGAAGACAAGGGTGACTGTGGAAAAATATATAGACCAGAAGTAAACAAGGTAGATCACAGACAAACTCAGTAAACAGTGCACTACAGTAAGATCTAACTTCTCAATTTTGAGCATTTTTATTTTCTAGACTACAATATAACAAGTCTCAGTTCTGCAATCAACTGTTGAGAGGACGACCTAAGACTTAATGTAGATGCACACTCTTGCTAGTACATACACAAACATAAATAATTAAATACAGAGGTAGAGGGAATAAATCTAAACAAGGATGCAAACTTTCAAATAAACACTTGATAAATTCACTGTTCAGTAATAAAGATAATGGTCCAACATACATCAAGTAGTAAAAGAAGCTTGCTACAAACATTGCATGGTTGATTGCAGTAGAAAGCAGAACATGGCTTGAAATACTTTAACCATTGTTAATGTCAGCTCAGAGACTTCAATTCCAATCTGTTCCACATGCCTGCAAAGGATAAAAGAGCACAAAGGGCATACATTTATGAAGAACCAATAGACGGCTGAAAAATCCAAACACCAAAAGAAACACTAAGCAATCTCTTAAGTGAACTGCTGTTCATTTAGGAGCCAGAAGCTCATTAAACTCTAAATAAGTTGTTTATATCCGAACAAGCTTGAACTGAACCAAGCTTAAATTGGAGACTCAGAAGTCAGACAGCTTGGAACAGCTTTTGGTCGCAAAAATCCCCCAAGGTCCAGTTCCACATAAAGCCCACAGCTCATTTCTGCTGAGGAGAAATGGAATGATCTGATCCTGAAAAGGAAAACATATAGAAGTTACAATTAGTAACCAACTGTACAATTCTATTATTATAATTTCATTTTTGACGAATAGGCGATATTACCATTACTGTCAAGCCACTTCTTACTATTTGATCTTTCAGGTTTTTTCTGTTCATCTGCATCCAATCCGCTATTTGGTGAGAGTCCTTCATCACTGCCAAACTTTGATAAGTATTTGCTCTTCAATTCCTGATCACCATTCATTGAAACTTTGGAGTCATAAGCCTCCTCTTTTGAAACCAACATTCCATCATCCCCTGTATTTTTTAAATCATTCACAATGGAAGTAAGCAGCCCACTATCATCTCCAGTCTTTCCTATTTTTTGGCCAAAATGTGGTGAACTTTTATTGTCATGATCCAAATAACACTTACCTTCAGTTGACTTTGACCTAGAACGCCTTCTGTGTCTTGAATCGTTGTCTTCAGAACTTCTTGGAGAAGATCTGCTTCCTCTAGGAGGCCTACCTTCGGAAGATAATAAATGCTTTTTGTCACGACGTTTTGATCTGTCATCTATTTTATCAGTGGAACGATACTTGCCATCAGTAGACTTTGACCTGGAGCGCCATTGGAGTTTTGATCTATTTTCATCTGAATTTCTGGGGGACAGCTTGCTTCCTCTGTGATGCTTAACATCAGCAGATCTTGACCTTGACCGCCTTCTATCTCGATGCTTAGACTTCTTATCTCTACTTCTATCACTCTTCTCTTTGGTGTAATGCCTACCTTCGGCAGATCCTGACCGGGACCGCCTTCTATCACTATGTCTTGAGTCATCTTTTCTCCTTTCATCAATTTTACTGTTGGAGTGAACCTTGCCTTCCACAGAAACTGATCTGGACTGCCTTCTATGTTTTGATTTGTTTTCATCTGAACTTGCAGAAGATCTGCTTCTTACTTGATCCTTACCTTCTGAAGATAATGACCTGGGTCGCCTTCTGCCACGTTGCTTTGATTTTTCATCTGGGATTTCATCCTTTATGTTATCAGAATCAACAGATTTTGACCTAGAGTGTTTTCTGTGTTTCAATTTTCTTTCATCACCATTCTTTGGGGATGACCTACTTCTTCTATGATGCCTTGGTGATCTTGAACCAGGATGGGATGATTTCCTTACCTTTGGTGAACTTTCTCTGCTATGTTTTGGGGAGTCTGAATCTACAGGTGATTTTCTTGTTCGAGGACTAGCACTCCTACTCCTATTTCTCCTTGAAATAGATGAATGATGATCGCGTGATCTCTCCAGATCTCGTCTCCTACTCCTGTCACTGTCATCCCTATCTCTATATGAACGCCGTTCACTATCATACCTTGAACGATGATGAGATCGCACAGGTGACCTGGACCTACGCTCTCGCCGGAAACGAGGCAGAGGTGAATAAGAGCGAGACCTCCTTCTTCGCCTATAACTTATTGGTGACCTTGACTTGGACCTTGACCTTCGCCGATAACTGATAGGTGACCTAGACTTTGATCTTGATCTTCTCCGATAACTAATGGGTGATTTTGATTTGGATCTTGACCTTGCACGAGGAGTTGATGGTGACCTATAAACAGGAGTTATGAATTAGCAGAACTCTGATTTATTTTTAAGGAAATTTGAAGTCAAACAGACAGACAAACAAGGGAACACTTTGATCTCCATTGGTTCTCAATAAGTTAAAATATCATCTGGAAAGAAAAAAGCAAGATTTGACATGAGAGAATCGTTACAAATAGATAGCTGTTATACTGTTCTGCTCATGATTAAATAGCACATCATAATCATTATCTATTGAAAAACAATGTTGCAGCAGTCTATCCTATCCCCATAAATCTAAAGGACCAAACATAGATGTTCCGCATATCATACCAAACCATGAAGCTCTGCTTGCAAATAATATGTAGGCTAATAATAACAGCTTTTAAGGGAAAGTAAAGGAGAACACATGTCCATTCTTTAACAATAAGCCTTAAGAAACAATACATGTATGAAAGGAAATTAACTTGACCTGATGAGGAGATATACCTAGATTTACTGTTAGTTTCCTTCTCTTCGGTAACAAGTCCATCAGCTTTCAGCTTCTTACTTATTTCTGCAGCTCTTGCTGCGGCTAACTCTGTTGCAGACTTCATGCTTGCAGCTCGGTTAGCTGCCTGCTGAGCAGTCAAGGTTTGTTGCATAAGCAAAGCCTGTTGAAATTGCATCTGTTGCATGGCAACAGCTTGCTGCATCATCATAGGCAGAGATGAAGAAGTCAATGATGAAATAGCTGGTTTCTGAGGAAGCGCTTTGGCCATCTCCACATTTAATGGTCGACCACCAATATCCATATTGTTCAATGCCAAAGCAGCTGTTGCTTCCTCAGGTTTTGAATATTCTATGTAAGCAAAATGCTTTGAATCAGTGATTGTACACTCAACAACTGTACCACAGAAGCTAAAAAGCTGCTTCAACTGCTCTGCAGTGAGAAGCGGGCTAAGATTGCTAACTTGTAGGGTTTTTTTCAAAGCATCAGCCTTCCCAGCTTTGTCAGGAGAATCTGACAAGAAGCAGACAACTGTTAGGTTGGGCCCTTGACTAAAAAGGAAATAACAATAAAATAAATAGAACTTAGAAAATAAATTAAAGAAAAAAGGAGAGGGGAAAACAAGATAGTGTAAAGAATACCAGCTGAATCTTTGGTTGACTGAGCTTGTGCTTGCACTTGAGCAGCATGAGCTTGAAGGGCCTGAGCAGCAACAATAGCCTGAGCTGCAGCCATCGCAGCAGCAGAAGGTGCCATAGGAACCTGACTGAGAGTACCCATGCTGGTTGTTGCAGCCAAAGCAGTCATCAGCAAATTGTGAGGAGGATGGTTCAATTTGCAATCAGTTTTAGCACAACGGCCATTGAGGTATTCTCGACAAACTTCCCCAAGAGATGCCCCCATTCCTGGTAAAATAGCACCACCCGAAGCACCGGAAACAATGCCTGGGATCATTCCCAATAAGCCAGGGAAAGCTCCAGAAACAGATCCTGTGTAGTTTGGCATGTTGGGCATGGTCTGGTTTACTAGATTTGGATATGTGGATGCAGGAGCCACCCCTAGTAGTCCTCCAGTAGAAGAACCTGCATGACAAAAAATTCAACATCTACACCATAAGCACTAGACTGCAGCCAAGAACAATGCCCAAAAATGAAGCCTAACATACCAACAATAAGTAAGAACAGAAATTCAACAGCAATTTAGATGGCCAGTGAAGCAAAATTATGTGTATGTAGGTTACATCGGGAACTTTTCTCATTCCCAGTCATAAGCCTTCTTCACATAGAACAAGAAAAATAATATACAATTTAGTTTCATATGAAAAGCCAAAGCTACACCAAAGATTTGAACATTAAAAAATTCACATATTACATAAGACAATCAAATAGGGCCAAAAAAACATAGTACAAAATTTTGCATGACAAGTGACAACAAAACATGCAGTTAAAATTTAAGATGTAGCTTTAACAACGTTACCTGCACTAAAGAACACCGGGAAAGGGCTACCCATGATGGGTTTCCCATTGCACTCAATGTTAACCATATAGTTCCCTCTCTTAGGCACCACATAAGTCACCGTGTAAGTCCCATCTCCCATGTCCTTTACAATGCCCTCCTGTTCCGACCCCCCAACACCCACACCTGGCGAAACCTTCACCTTAATCTGTGCACCCCCACTCTGTACTTTCCTCCCATCTGCATCCTTTGTTACCACCATAAACGTGGAGGCTGCACAGGCAGTGCCACCCGCTATTCCTGGTCCCGCAGCCATGCATTTGGCAGGATCCACAGGACCAATTGGCTTGTCCGCCAAGTCACTGGTGTCCTCAGACTCACTATCCGATGAAGCAGCCACCACATCCTTGTTATGGTTCTTATCGACATCCTTAAATGTGGCTTCGAAAGCTGCTTTAGCAGCAGCAGCTTTTTCAGCCTCACTTTTCAGTTTGGCCTCCTCCGCCTGTTTCATCCATATAGGCTTTGAAGCAGTTGAGCTTCGATCCGCCATCAAATCAAAACACCTAAATTTCTAGAAAAATTAGCAATAACCCAGATGCTAAAAGCAAATTTAACAACAAAAAATAATAATTTCAGTTATTAAAAAAAAAAGCATCCATCAAATGTGCTCCAATAAACCTAGCTCAAATTCCAGACTTAAAAAATATTCAAATTCCAATTGACTAAAACTAATGCAACCCTAGAAAGAAAACCTAACAAATTAGTAAAGTAAAACCTCAAATTCGGAACTAAAGAAAAAAGAAAAGTTAGATATTAAGCATCATTTAAAATCTTATTTTTCATAGTTTGATAATATTTGGGGTCCGTTGGACTTTGGTTGGTTTATAAAGAAACTGAAGGAAAAGGAAAGAAAACATAAGAAAAAGTTTAGATTTGTAGATTAAAAAGCTTTCTTGTAATTTAGGACGTTGAAAGAGGAAAGAGGCGTTACCTGTAAATTTGGTATCCGACGGCGAAGATGGGGTTGATAGGGTAAGAATCGGGAGAACAACGTATTTGAGGCGGGGGTGGGGGGCAAAACCGGGATTTTACTCACAATTTTTTAAGTGAAAAATAGTTTAATTCGTTTCGCACCCTATATTTTTTTTCTCTTCATATCCTACTTTTTTTTATCAAATTTTTGTGCAGTTTAAATTATTTAATTATCCTTAAATTTTTGGGAAGTTGTTTTTTTTCTTTATTATATTTGGTTAATTTATGTTAATTAAGTTATTTATTTTAATTTTAAAATTTTTTATTCATTTAATTTGTAAAATAATTAGAGATATATAAAAAAAATTTCAATAATAGAATTTTAAGAAAATTATTGGTGTGTAATTTTTTTCAAAAATTTATAATGAGAATTTTTTTAAAAATTCGATTAAGGTGTAAGAAGATTTAAAAATTAGTTTTGATATAAAAATTCTTTTTCATTTTTAATTTGAAGAAATAAAATTTGAATAAATTATGGTGATTTAATTGAATGACTAATTATTGGATAAATTATGATTGTATGAAGTAAATTTTATATTTTGATAATTGTATTTTATGAATAGGATTGTGTATTTTATTTTGTTTATTTAAATTAACTCAATTTCATTAAATATTTATTAAATCTAATGATGTAGTCTCTTCAAATAAACAAGTGTGTTATTTGAATATTTTTTAGGTGAGAAGTATTTTGAGGAGCTGGACCACAATATTGGATAAAACTTTAAAATATTTTTAATATTTAAATATTAATTAATAAAAATAAAAAATAAAAAAAGTTATGATCATATTAATTAAGACTAGAAAGATAATTTAAAATTAATTGGTATCAATTTATGGGTATTTTTGGGTGCTATAATATTTTTTACATATAATCGAATTCTCATATCCAATTCTGTTTAGTTATTAGAACTAATTTTGTTAAAGATCCTTAATTAAGTTTAGGATTTTTTTATAATGGATAAATTAACTTAAATGACGAATCACATATATTTAAAAAAGATTTATGAAAACTTCATATGATGTCTAATGAACTAATTCTCGGACCTAAATGCTATGACAAAAAAAATAAAAAGAAACCCCAAATCTCATTATTTACAAGCTTCCAAATGCTACAAAAAATAGCTAAGGAGCTCTTAAAATAGCTCGAAGAAGTTTTAAATGTAAGAAATATCATTTCTAGTTTGTACCAAAGTTATAAAAGTCATGTTGAGAGATTAAATCTTCAAATACCCATTTCGAGAATAGCTCTATCTATTGGGATTGACTTAAATCCTATTAGAGATCTGAATAGAGATTTATTTCAAAAAGGAGTGATTAGATATTGTTTGATGAACAATAAGACCTATAGAAAAAGAATTCTTAATAAACAAATTAATATACTTATAAATAAGTAAAGTCTCATAGAGTTAGATATGAAAAAAAGATGTAAGAGAATTATAAGGTTTTATTGGGTAGAGAAGATTGAGAGTGTCTTTATGGATACGTATATTTGAATGTGTGTGTAAAATAATGAAACTGAAATGGTCCACATAAGTATAATGATTATTTTTGTTTAGATGAATTAGAGAAAATTGAAATGGTTCACATAAGTATAGATGCACATGGATATGTGTTTATTTGGATTGAGAATATTTCATAGGACTAGAAAAAAAAGGGTATATGGGTATTGATTGTAAGTACGAATTGATATGATTTGTTTGTTTGTAATTCTCTATAACTAATAGATCTTTTTTCTCATTTGTGAACGTAAACTAATTGAACTGAACCATGTTATATTATTTCTTGTGTGATTATTTGATTTTTTTAATTTCGCTTCCACTGGCGCAAATATTCAATTGATTGGGATTTTTTGCCTAATACTATCAACAAATTTGATTAAAGGTTGTAGAAAACACATGCATATGCATTTATTTTCACACCAACAACAAACAAATTTCTGGCACTACCTATTTGGTTTGGTAACCCCTATCATTCACAGTGATTTGACTCAAGGATAAAGAGGTCTACTATGTTGACTATGTATTTAGTGTGTAAATATAAGAAACGTTTCGAGGTTGAGGTGTATTATCATTATCTTCAAAATGGAATAGCTTTCTTAGATATGATTCTTCATCAGTAAAAGTTGTTCTAAGGCCAACCATAATTGAAACACCATTTGAGGGATGGTTTATTTTTTTGTCATGTTTTACATGAACAGCCTACAAGAATGCAGAAACTAAGTGTAACAGAGATACCTATAAAAATAAAAAAGGTAAGGTACATCTACCCATCACTCATGAAAAGCTTTTTATTCAATGAAGACTTGATTTATTAAACGTATGAACCAATTCATTGAACAACTAATTTCTCAATGGCTTTTAAAGAGTTATACAGAACAAAACTCTCATGGAATAAAATTAAAATATTAAAATGTAAATAGGTCAATTTTTAGTAGTGATCATCCAGAAATCACTAGTGCATATGATCTTAATCCAAGTTCTAATGAGAAACCATTGTGAGCAGCTTCAATTATATACAACTTGCAGTTATAGGAAAGTGAGTTGTCATCATATTTGTCAAGCACTTCGTAAAATAAATAAGATGAACCCAATGGTAGTGGTAGTATCTGGCATCCCTCAATCAACGAAAGTCTCACTCAGATAATTCAGAATTCATGACTTATTTAATGCAAATGTGAGTTAAATAGCCAAACTAATGAAAAAGAATATTTGAAATTCACTTTTAAAAATCGACAATCAATGGTTTCTAACTTCAAAAGAATCATTATCAAAAGGAATTTCATCACCGTTTCTAATGTCTGAAATATTATAGTCACTAACTACCTTATTATTCTCATGTATGGGGATGTCTATCCCAATCAACGCATTTTAAAAGAAATGAAATCATAACAAAATGTAAATTGTTATCATTTTCATCAATCTTTTTATTGTTATCATTTCCATTATGAACCATTATTGTAATAATATCTTAAAAAGAATAACTAATCATCATTTTGTTAGATTCTCATTCAATATAGTTATATTAATGACTGGTAAAGTTTTTTAATTTCTCCAACTAGTAGACTCTTTTTTACCATAAGCTCTATTCAGAAGACATTGAAACATACCATCCTTAAGCACAGAACAACATTTAGCATGGTTACATTTTTTACATTTCCAAAGCCCTATTACAACATTTGCAATTTATTACTAATTTTTGTAATTTCAAAAGCCATTTAGTCTTTAGTTATAGATTGATGAAAGGCTTATCAAAATCCATCAGTAGCTTTAGAACCTTTAATATCAAAATCTGAAAACTATACGTCATTGTTAACACATTCATCAGCTACATATTAACTATTACATTCAAGACATAGCAATTGATAGGCTAATGACTTCTAAATGATAATTTAATGACACCTAAATTTGTGATAAATATACAGTGGTGTCAAACTTACTTTAAGCTACAACATGGAAACAACATTTGAGAAGCAATCATATCATCACCACAAGGTTACTTGCTATGTTTTCATCATAAATAATTTTAAAGAAAATATCTAAATTTTAAACAAAAAAATGTAATACATAAATTAAGTTAATACATAATAGCATGCTTTATGCATGAAAGAGGAGGATTGATGATTTAAGATAGAGAAATATAAATGTATGTATGTATGTATGTGTGTGTGTTGTTCTAAATTTTCAAAATAAAATATAAGAAATAATCCCACATTTGAAAAAAAAATAAAAATAGATAACTAAGCCTGTTTAAAATAAACAGATAAGTTTGTTCAAAATGAATACTTTTAACTATTCAAAAAAGATAATTTTTGTTTATTTAAAAGAGATAATCATGTTTATAGGAAATGACACTTAATTGTTTATAAAAGATTCCTCTGGTTTTCTAGAATATACACAAAAACAATTCTTAAAACTCTCATTCTTTCTTTAAACTTTAGATTTCTTTTATAAAAGTTTTGCTACAAAAAACCTTTATAAAAGTTCAACAATCTTGTGATACACTAGTGAGTGCTCGGTGGACTAATTTTATCAGTGCAAAATGTAGTCAGTTATTGAGCTTCATTATATCTTTAAGGTTTATTGCCTACAACTTTTTTGTACACTTACTAAGTAAATAATACAGTGAGAAAAAATAAAACCATAAGGAAAGTGGTATCGTTACACGCGTTAGAGTCTTTCCTTAAAATTTTAGATTTACCAGAAGCAGTAATTCTAGATTTCAGTGTTTGCTCTAATAATTTTAATGTTTTATTCGATTCAACAATGGCTACTGATGAACGCTCAGGGAATTGGCGTCTAGTTTTGTCAAATTGGATTATTTTTATGTTTGTAATTTTTTAAGAAAATAAAAAAAGATGTATTTTTTGCTTTCAACCTTGAAGGTTGTATATGTTCTGATTACTCACAAGCTAGAAGAAAATAAAATAGAAGAATCTGTTATTGCAACAAGAGAAAGATAAAATGTGATAATACAGACTATATATGTAAAGGTCATATTCTGAATGATCTGTCCGAAACTTGTTTGATACATACCAAAACGAGGTTACTACAAAAGGGCTATGGGACAAATTATAGCTAGGTATATGATTGAGAATGCAATAAGTAAGAAATTTCTCGTTAATCTTTTCAATAATTATCATATAATTGATAAACGTTCTATGATTAAACGATTGCATAAAATTGAAATAATGCTTAATCAATTTAAACAATATAATATAAGCATGCATGAAACAATTATTGTGTCCTCTATAATAAGCAAACTTCCTCCATTATGGAAAAACTTCAAAAAAAAATTTGAAACATAAACAAACAAAAAATCACTCTTTAGGCTTTGGCTAATCATCTTCGAATTAAAGAAGAATACAGAAAGCAAGAACAAAATTTCAGTTCTGGTGATACCAAAGTTCATGTTTTGGAGGAAATACAAATTACAAAGCTTGACAAAAAAAAGTTCAAGTTCAAGCAAATTACTAATGAGCCTAAATTCAAAAAGAATAAGAAAAGCTCATGTTACTATTGTAGTAAGCCAAGACATTTCAAAAAAGAATATTAGTTGTTATAAAAGAAAAATGATTCCTCAAAAGAAG